ATTGAGTGGGTTAAGTGGTTGAGATAGATAGGTCAATTTTTCAATCCATTTAGCAATCAATTTACAGAGAGTAAGCTGGTCTCACAGGCACATGGGGTTTATGTTTGGGGGTAGGATGCTGCTGAAGAACCAATGATGACAATTTTTAAAGAAAACCAGAATGAATAAGAGAGGAAGCGTCATCCTGGAATAAAAGAACAATGGTGAGTCAAGTGGATGGTTAGGTTTCCCCCAGAAACAACGAGCTCAGTGATAAACTTTTTGGTCACTGGCATCTTTTGAAAAGCTTTTGTAGGTTTCAATGACAAAATATTTAAAACTTAGGAGATAGATAAAATTATGCATAAATATAACTGAAAGAAACTTGTTTAGGAACAATTTGAAAACAAGTTTTTTTCAATATTTTTTAAAGGAATTAAATCAATTATTTAAGACCTTTCTATTTAAAAAGAAAAAGGAAATCAAAGACTCACCAGAAATTATATAGTTTATAGGCAAGTACTACTAATTTTAAGGAACTTTCAAAATTATAAAAATGCTTCCAAAAAATAGAAAATGAGAGCATGCTCTGCAATTCAGTCCATGAGACAATAATTTTGATAAAAAATTAGGGATGGTATTAGGAAGGAAAATAGTAAGTCTATTTTATTCATAAAATTCGATACAAAACTTCTAAACAAATTATCAAATCCAATCCAATTCCCTATAAAAATATTAATAAATGTCCAATTTAAGGACATGAGAATGCAGAAATATAACATTACTGATTAAATGGGATCAACCATAACAATATCTCAAAATATGCTAAAATAAATTAACATTGATTCATAATAAAGGCTACTATAACAAGAATAGAAGGAAACTTTATTAGTTTTATGAAATGTATTACTCAGGAAATAAAAGAGAAAGTCCCTACAACAATATCACCCTAAATAGGTAAATTCTTAAAGTAGTCCATTTAAATTCAGTAACAAGAAATGGAGGTTTCCTATGAACACACCAATTCAACAATATATTGGTGCTCCAGCCAGCACAATACAACAGGGATAGAAATAAAAGTTATGAGAATTAGAAATCACTAATAGGGCCATTGTTTTTAGCATATTACACAGTTGTTTACCTAAAAATACAAATGAAATAACCAAATATAGACAATAGGAAAAATAGGAATAATGTGTCTGTTTAAAAGATCAATATATAATTGTTAAATATATTTATATACACCAGCAACAAAAACATTAAAATTAATAACTTTTTAAATACAACACAAACTATTAAAAAATCCAATAAGATATATGCAAGATCCGTATGCAGAAAATTAAAAACTTTTTTGAAGGTCATTATAGAATGTCTAAATAGATTGAATAATCCTATATTAATAGACAAGTAAATTTAATTTATATTATACACATGGTTTTTCTTCCAAAATTGATCTATAGGTTTAATGTACTTAAAATCCAAATTATGATTTTGTTTTTATTTTTGTGGAATATTATAAATTAACTTTTAAATGCATATAGAAAAGCAAAGAAGGAATTATATCTTAGATTCATCATGGTTTATGAGATACAGACTTACTATATAGCATAGTAATTATAAGATTGTGAAACTGGTTTGGAGGTGGACAAATTCATGAATAGAATAGACAGTCCAGAGAAAAATGTACTTACTCATATATGGAAATTTGACTTATGATGGAGCTTGCATGGTAGAAACTGTTGAGTTATCTACTAATTAAGAGAGAGATTAAAGTTTGTGTACTACAGCAAAAAGGAAGGGAGAAGGAAAGAGGAAAACAGCTAAAAAAAAAAGAGCAGAGGGTAGGGAAAAGAATAAAGGATTCAGACCTCACACCACCACAATAACATTTTTTAGATATTTTATATATATATATACATATATATAAATGTTTTATATTTTTATACATTTTATATAACATATACAATATAATATACATTATATAATTTTATGTGCTGATGTGAGATAGGGATTATGATTGATCATATAATTATATTTTCATAGACTATAATACCTATCTTACACAACATAGAATTTCTGTTAAAAAGTAAACTAAAATTTTAAGATTGTTTGTTCTGAAATTTGAGTAAGCAGTTTTCTTACACACAGAAGAGACTAAAGTGCTAGTCCCTTACAAAAGTTTACATTTGAGTATATTAAAACTAAATCTTGTTCTTTAAAGTACACATGGATTAAAGCAAAACAAATTTTTCAACTTTTAGATATTTCCAAACATGGATTAAAATTAATAACAAATAAAGAATTTTTACAAATCAAGGAAAAAGAGTAGAGAAAAGAGACAAAAGACATGAGCAGGAATTTCACAAAAGAGGAAACAGGGAAGTAGGAAGTGTGACAATACACAAGTGTTAGAGGCGTGTGCTCATCCGAATCCTAACTACATTGCTAGTGAACATACGCATTAGTACAACTTCTTTTGGAAACAAAAGGAGCATATAAGTAAATTCTACCCTCAAACTGACCACTTTCCGTGAACACTAGAAAGCATCTCCAGTTTTTTTAAGAACATAAAATTGACCATTCCAAGTGTCCATTGACACAGATCAAAAAATCATATTCACGTAAGTGTCATTTAGCAGTGGAAATCAAATAATGTGAACTACATATGGAAAGAACTTTATCTTCCACATGAATAAATTTTAGTAACTATGCTTAATGGGAAAAGAAAAACGCAAACCATATGTTGTTTAATGCATACACTAGATAACCCATATTTCAGAATAGTGCTCATCTTTGTGAATGAGAAACTGGGATGCTATAGGGGAAGAACATAGAGGTATATGTAAGCTATAAGAAATGTTCTACCTTTGGAGTGGGCAATTGGTTTTTATATTATATATAACATAGGTGTTTGAATTATGCATAATATATATTACATAATATAAGCAAACCAATTGGTAGTAGACAGGAAGAAAATACCGCAACATATCTAACAAAAGGTAAATATTTATGGTACAGTAAATAAGGAAATACATGAAAATGTCATGTTTTAAATAGTCATGGTTCTTCTCAGATGGTGGGATTTTAGTTATTTTAAATGTATGTGTAATTTGTATTACTATAACAAAAATTTTTTTTATTGATGCTAATATAAGTGAAAATACCACTCATAATATGTAATGAGTTTATAAGAAAATAAAAAGTAAGCTCAATGGAAAGATGGCAAGACAGCAAGTCGAGGTCACAAATCTATTAAACCTCCAAAAATATACTGATCCTAGTAAAGAGATGTGCGATTTTACAATAATGACAGGATGCTATTTTTCACTATTGTTGAAGAAATGTTATAAAGTTGTTTATATGTAGTGCTTTGGAGTTGCCAGAAATGGCCACTTACATCTACAATGGGAGCCGTTTAGAGGATCACATGATGGTATAGTGAAACTTCTCCCTTCTAGAACATTAGCCTTTGCAACGTGCACATTTTCATATACATGTATTGAAATAATGTTAGCTACAATACTTTTTTGTAATAGTGAAATGGTAGAAATAGTTTAAGAGTACATGAAGAAAAATGATTTAAATCTTGTACAATCTACATAATACATTCTCTTATTATAAATCATGAGGCAACACGCAGAGAGATATCTTAGAAGTATTTAAATAGCCCTGGCAGTGTGGCTCAGATGGGTGGAGTGTTGTTCCATACATCAAAAGGTGGGTTTGATTCCCGGTCAGGGCACATACCCAGGTTGCAGGTTCGATCCCTGGTCAGGGTCAGTGCAGGAGGCAACAGATCGATGCTTCTCTCATACATTGATATTTTTCTTTCTCTCTCTCTCTCTTTTTAAAAATAAATCAAAAGAAAATTTAAAAAAAGAAACGTTTACGTTAAAAAATGCACAAAAATAAGTTAACAGGATTTATAGCATAATCCCATTCATATTAAAATGTGTATAATATTTATGTGCATATATATGACCTTGGATGATTACATATTATATTATTTGCTTACCAGTGGTTATTTCTGGAGCAAGGAAGGTAAAGAGACACATTCCAAATATTTATGTCCTGTTTCAATTCTCTTACTGCAGGCAAATAGGCATGTACAATTATGTAACTAGATGCATTGCTTGCCTTTGTAATGCCCCAAAAGTAGGTCGCATTAATATGCATGCTGCATGCAGCAGAAGCAGAGCAGTGGGCATTTATTACAGCTGACTCAGCAAGTAGGCTCGCGTGTTCGCGACACCAAACACGGGGGGCCAGGCAGAGGACAAGGAGAAGCTTTCCTCCTCCTTGCAGACTGGAAATCAGAAGGAAACACTGAAGTAATTGGCTTGAACCTCAAAAGCAACCTGTTCAGTTTCTTCAGTAATGGAGGAGGCAGAACCCTCTCAAAGATGTATTTACTGACAAAATAGTTGTATTTATATAATTATTCAAAAGAGAATTTTTAATTAATATAAATTATGAAACAAAATACTGTAGTGATGTGACACTGGATTATGTGAACTGCAGATTATTTCTGGAAGAATATTTTAATAAAAAATTTATTGTATAAATTTTGTGTTTTAAACTTTAAAGTTGATAAAGAAAAAGAATATATATATATATCTGGAAAATACAAATAAAATATGTTTAAATTAAGACATGTTGGCCCTGGCCAGGATGCTTAATTGATTAGCGTGTCTTCCCAATACACTAAGGTTGCAAATTCAATCCCTCATCAGGGCACATACAAGAATCAACCAGTGAATGCATACATAAGTGGAACAACAAATTCATGCCTTTCTCTCTCTCTTAAAAACAATCAATAAATTAAAATAAAAAGTATGCATTTTAATACTTTTAGAATTGTAATCTAGATAAGAATTAATATTTTTTCAATAAAATCATTGAGATTTTACAGTTTTCACCAAATAAAAATACTTTTATGAGATAAAATTCTCAGAGCATAAAGTGAAAAAAGTCCTAAGATGAAAATATCAATCATGTGCCATAACTTGCTTATTTTTCAGGTTAAACTTTTTCCGCGATGTTTCTGACTTCAGAGTGTTAGCCTGTGGTGGAGACGGAACCGTGGGGTGGATTTTGGACTGCATAGGTAATGAAGACACATATTTAACGTGGCTGGGGTGAGAGTGGTAACCTTAAATTCTGTATATTTTATTTATTTTATTAATGCATTGATATGTTTGGATGCTACAGAGATATAATTGGACATTCAGCATATTGCATACTATTTACTGATTTAATTTATTAAATTAAATTTTTTTTAATTGACAGAATAATATAAAAGTATCTGGAAATTCTTTTTTGAATTTACTAAACCTTCTGAGATATTTTAAAAATTAGTCTCCATTTGTTTCTTTGTCCTAGAGAGGGAGTCAAGAGGATTTAATCATTTGGGATCAAGTCTATCAAATAGATGCTCTTATTTGGTTTACGCATGGAAACTCAAAACCTTATGCTCTGTGTACATTCATGTCATCATCATCAATCATTATTATCGTAATTATAGCTATTTTTTATTTATCATGTACTATCTTATAGGCCTTCTCCTGAGATTTTTACTCCAATCTTCTTAATTCTCACAACTGTATAATACAGGATGGATAATCCAATTTTGAGATAGGTCCTCTAAGGCGTAAAGAAATTACCACATGGAACAGTCTAGTAGCTGTGAACTGACAGAAATGGGATTGGAGCCCACACTTCAACCTTATTTTATATTGCTTCCCCATTTGAGGTTTTTTTTTTTTTTTTTGGATTTTAAAATTTTTATTTATTTTACTTCTTGTTAATCCTTACCTTAGGATATGTTTTCCATTGATCTTTTTTTTTTATGAATTTTTATTTATTGTTTTGTTACAGATATTTTACCTTTTTACCCCATTGGCACCCCCCACCCCACCTCCCCTCCACCCTGTCCCCGGCTTAGTTGTCCATGTCCATTGGTCATGCATACATGCATATAAGTTCTGTGGTTTATCTCTTCCCACCCCCCCACCCCCCATTCCCTCTTCTGAGGGATGTCAGTCTGTGCCCTACTTCCATGTGTCTGGGTCTACTGTATTCCTCAGACTGTTATGTTCATTATATTCCGTATATAAGTGAGATCATGTGGTATTTGTCTTTTTCTGCTTGGTTTCTTTCACTTAGGATAATACTTTCCAGGTCCCTCCATGTCGTCTCAAAGGATAAGAGATCTTTCTTTCTTACTGCTGCATAGTACTCCATTGTGTATATGTACCACAGCTTCTTTATCCATTCGTCTACTGGTGGGCACTTGGGCTGTTTCCAGATCTTAGCTATTGTAAATAGTGCTGCTATGAACATGGGGGTACATATATTCTTCCTAATTGGTGTTTCAGGCTTCTTAGGGTATATTCCCAGCAGTGGGATCACTGGGTCAAATGGAAGTTCAATTTTTAATTTTTTGAGGTAGCACCATATTGTTTTCCATAGTGGCTGCACCAGTCTGCATTCCCACCAGCAGTGTATTAGAGTCCCCTTTCCTCCACACCCTCGCCAACACTTGTTTGATGATTTGTTGATGGCGGCCATTCTGACAGGTGTGAGGTGATACCTCATTGTTGTTTTAATTTGCATCTCTCTGATGATTAGTGATGTTGAGCATTTCTTCATATGTCTCTTGGCCATTTGTATGTCCTGTTTGGAGAGGTGTCTATTCAGCTCCTCTGCCCATTTTTTAATTGGGTTCTTTGTCTTCCTTTTGTGGAGTTGTATGAGCACTCTATATATATTGCAAATTAACCCCTTATCTGATACATCATTGGCAATGATGTTCTCCCATACAGTGGGTTGCCTTTCCATTTTGATGATTGTTTCTTTTGCTGTGCAGAAGCTTTTTAGTTTGATGTAGTCCCATGTGTTCATTTTATCCTTTATTTCTGTTGCCTTAGGTGATGTATCAGTGAAAATTCTGCTCCGTATGATGTCCGAAATTTTGTTGCCTACATTTTCTTCTAGAATTTTTATGGATTCACGGGTCACATTTAAGTCTTTTATCCATTTTGAGTTTATTTTTGTGTATGGTGTAAGTTGATGGTCTAGTTTCATTTTTTTGCATGTAGCTGTCCAGTTTTCCCAACACCGTTTATTAAAGAGGCTGTCTTTACTCCACTGTATGCTCTTGCCACCTTTGTCAAATATTAATTGAGCGTATTGCCTTGGGTCCATTTCTGGGTTTTCAGTTCTGTTCCACTGGTCTATATGCCTGTTCTTGTGCCAGTACCAGGCTGTTTTGGTTACAGTCGCTTTGGAGTATAACCTGATATCTGGTATTGTGATCTCACCTACTTTGTTCTTCTTTTTCAAGATTGCTGTGGCTATTGGGGGTCTTTTTTGGTTCCATGTGAACTTTTGAAGTATTTGTTCTAGTTCTATGAAATATGTTGTTGGTATTTTGATGGGGATTGCATTGAATCTATAGATTGCTTTGGGTAGTATGGACATTTTAATTATGTTAATTCTTCCAATCCATGAACAGGGTATGTGCTTCCACTTTTTTATATCTTCCTCTATTTCTTTTTTCAATGACCTGTAGTTTTCTGCAAATAGGTCCTTTACTTCTTTGGTTAAGTTTATTCCTAGGTATCGTAATTTTTTTGGAGCGATGGTAAATGGGATTGTTTTTTCAGTTTCTCTTTCTGTGAGTTCATCATTGATGTACAAGAATGCCGTCGATTTCTTGACGTTAATTTTGTATCCTGCTACTTTGCCAAATTCATTTATTAAGTCTAATAGATTTTTGATGGAGTCTTTAGGGTTTTCTATGTACAATATCATGTCATCTGCAAATAATGACAGTTTCACTTCCTCCTTTCCCATTTGGATCCCTTTAATTTTTTCTTCATGTCTGATTGCTGTGGCTAAGACTTCCAGTACAATGTTAAATAAGAGTGGCGAAAGTGGACATCCCTGTCTTGTTCCTGTTCTTAATGGAAATGTTTTTAGTTTCTGCCCATTAAGTATGATGTTGGCTGTAGGTCTTTCATATATGGCCTTTATTATGTCGAGATATGATCCCTCTATTCCTACATTGCTGAGCGTTTTTATCAGAAATGGATGCTGGATTTTGTCGAATGTTTTTTCAGCATCTATTGATATGATCATGTGGTTTTTATTCTTCATTTTGTTTATGTGGTGTATCACGTTTATTGATTTGCGAATATTGTACCAGCCTTGCATCCCTGGAATGAATCCCACTTGGTCATGGTGAATAATTTTTTTGATGTATTTCTGGATCCGATTTGCTAATATTTTGTTCAGGATTTTGGCGTCTATGTTCATCAGGGATATTGGCCTGTAGTTTTCTTTCTTCGTAGTGTCTTTTTCTGGTTTTGGAATTAGAATTATGCTGGCCTCATAGAAGGTGTTTGGAAGTCTTCCTTCTTCTTGAATTTTTTGAAATAGTTTGAGGAGAATGGGTGTTAGTTCTTTTTTGAATGTTCGGTAAAACTCCCCCGTGAAACCATCTGGGCCTGGGCTTTTGTTTGCTGGGAGAGTCTTGATTACCTCTTCAATTTCCTTAGTTGTTATTGGTCTGTTCAAGTTTTCTACCTCTTCCGGGAATAGTTTTGGGAGACTGTGTGTTTCTAGAAATTTGTCCATTTCACTTAGATTGTCGAATTTGTTGCCATATATTTGTTCATAGTAGTTGTTAATGATCTTTTGTATTTCCGTGGTGTTTTTTGTTACTTCTCCTCTTTCATTTCTGATTTTGTGTATTTGGGTTCTCTCTCTTTGTTTCTTGGTGAGTCTAGCTAAGGGTCCATCAATCTTGTTTATCTTTTCGAAAAACCAGCTCTTTGTTTCATTGATCCTTTGAATTGTTTTTTTTGGTCTCTATGTCGTTGATTTCTGCTCTGATCTTTACTATTTCCTTCCTTCTACTTGCTCTGGGGTTTTCTTTGTGTTTGCTTTCTAATTCTTTAAGTTGTGAGGTTAGACAGTCAATTAGAAATTTTTTTTCTTTTTTGAGGTAGGCCTGTAGTGCTATGAACTTCCCTCTCAGAACTGCTTTCGCTGCATCCCATAGATTTTGTGTTGTTGTGTGTTCATTTTCATTGGTTTCCAGGAAGTGTTTAATTTCTTCCTTGATCTCCTCGGTGACCCATTCATTGTTTAATAACATGCTATTTAGCCTCCATGTGTTGAAATGTCTTTGCATGTTCTTGTTGCAATTGATTTCTAGTTTCATGCCATTGTGATCTGAGAAGATGCTTGATATGATTTCAATCTTCTTGAACTTGTAGAGATTTAGTTTGTGTCCTATCATGTGGTATCTTTGAGAATGTCCCATGTGCACTTGAGAAGAACGTGTATTCTGCAGTTTTGGGGTGTAATTCTCTGTAGATATCTATTAAATCCATTTGGTCTAGTGCTTCATTTAGAGTCTCTGTTTCCTTGCTAATTTTTTGCCTAGAGGATCTATCCAGTGCTGTCAACGGGGTGTTGAAGTCCCCTGCTATGATTATATTGTTGTCGATTTCTCCTTGGAAGTCCTCCAGAAGATTTTTAATATATTTTGGTGCTCCTATATTCGGTGCATATATGTTTATCAAGGTTATATCTTCCTGTTGGATAGATCCTTTCAATATTATGTAGTGGCCGTCTTTGTCTCTAGTTATGGTCTTCATTTTGAAATCTATTTTATCAGATATGAGAATTGCTACCCCAGCTTTTTTTTGCTTTCCATTTGCTTGGAAAATTTTTTTCCATCCCTTCACTTTCAACCTATGTGAGTCTTTTGTTGAGAGGTGGGTCTCTTGTAAACAACATATAGATGAGTCATGCTTTCTTATCCAATCAGCTACTCTGTGTCTCTTTGTGGGAGCATTCAATCCATTTACGTTTAAGGTGATTATTGATATGTACTTATTTATTGCCATTTTTGTTTAGTGTGGTTCTATTTTTCTTCCCATTTCTACTGCTAATTACAGCAGTCCTTTTAACATTTCTTGCAGTGCTGGTTTGGTGCTAATGTATTCCCTTAGCCTTTTTTTGTCTGGGAAGCTCTTTATTTGATCTTCTATTTTGAATGATAGCCTTGCTGGGTAGAGTAGTCTTGGATTCAGA